AGTATTGTGTAATGAACTCAAACCATTGTGTATTTAACTTGAATCACTGTGTATTTAACTCCACTTTTGCTATAATAGGCGCTGTTCTTAACTACAGGTCGTCTGTAACCCAGGGTGTTCTTAACTCAGGGACTACCTGTATTTTGATAAAATTGGAATAATGAAAAGATTACTTTTTTTAGATGCCTGTATTGTTCTCCCTGCATAATTGTTGATTCCTTACCACTACCATGTTCAAGCACTACTCTGGAACAGTAGGTCAAAGGACAGAAATTAGTAAGCAAGCATTAACTAACTAACCAACCATCCATCCATCCAAGCTTTCCACATCTGAATGCCCTCCAGCACTGTGAACTTCAACTCCTAGAATTATCCATCAACATGGCCACTGCAGAGAATTTTGGGAGTCAGATTTCACACATCTGGAGTACACGCACCTTTAGGAAAACATATGTACATATGCACACATACATTTTATTGCCCTTCTCTGACTTGCAGATATAACATGGATTTTTTATTTATCCATTGTACTCACAGAAGCAAAAGCTAACTATGCAATATAGTTCAGCTGTTTCAGAAAGCTAAAAACCTTTCCAAATAAATGTTATACATGTTTTATTTTCTATATTTTCTCACAGAAACAACTGCAGTTTTACATCATGAAGGAAATATTCTTTTCAAATATTAACACATAGTTAACATTTGGACTTGCTATATCTTTAAGATGACCTTGCCTGATAGTTCAGACTTTCAAAGATCAAAGTCACCAGAGCTTGAACATTTTTCAAAGGCAGTTTCACATGCAATTTATTACAATAGTCTAGCCTCAAGTACGCTGCATAAATTGAGCGCATTAACCTCTACTGCAGTTTAAACTAAACTAGAACTCCCCTGAACAGTCAGTAATGGGCTGGATGAAGAATAATAAATTGAAACTGAATCCAGATAAGATTAAATGTTTATTGTTAGGGGCTATAATTTCAGGTGATAGATCTGCCTATCCTGAATGGAATAACACTCTTTTAGAAGGAGCAGGTATATGAGGTGGGGCTCCTTGAATTTCTCTCTGGTTTCCCACATGCAGGGTCAACTTTTTCATCAGCTTCAGTTAATATGCTAACTGCATTTCTTTCTAGAAGAAAATGATCTTAAATCTGGAGCACTAGTGCTTAATAACCTCCAGGCTTGACTATATTAACGCACTCTAAATGGGGCTTGCCTTTGTGGTTAATCCAGAAATTCAGCTGCTGCAAAACTCAGAAGCTGCATTGGTCTCAGGGAGAATGCAGAGAGATCATATTACACCTATCCTTCATGCACTGCACTGGCTGCCAATTCATTTCAGGGCAAAAAACAAAATGCTGATTGTTATGGTTAAACCCCTACATGACATAGGTCCAGGATGATTAAGGGAACATCTCATTTTACAGGAACTTCCATGCTCAGGGACAAAGCTTGCTACAGAGGCTGTGAGTTCATCTGGCAGTGACTTGGGATTGCATCTTTTCTAATGGTGCCTCAGTTCTCTGGAATGCACTTCCCATACAACTGAATGAGCTAGCATATTTATTAGCTTTTAGAAACACCTTTACAGCTTTATACCTTTACAACATCTTTTTGGAGAGGCTGTTGATTAATTGTTAATTTCAACATTTGATTTTACTTGTTTTATTGTTAGTCAAATTGTTTTTAATGCCTTGACTTGAAATTTGGTCTTATTGTAAACCACTGACCAATTTTGATGGTCAATAGCTTAGCAAGTCAAACGAATAGTCAGTTACAGTCAGTTATAATCACATATACTCTAGCAAAAAATCAGTATTCTCATCTTTAAACAGAACAATAGTAGAGTTAACTACATTTGTTAATTTTACCTTACCATGAACTTTATAAAGTCGTACAGTGTGAGTCACATGACTGAAAAAAGTAGTAACTTCAGAAAAAATTCTCCCATGTGTCACTCGTATGATAGGTGGATCAGAATAAATATAAGGCTGCAAGAAGACAAAGATAAACAAATTTGTACCTTCTAGTTTCAAGTTTCATAGTCCTGCTTGAAAGGGAGGAATGGGGGGAACCTATCATCACTTCTTTTTCAATTAGCTCCTCCAGATGTTTAAAACAGTCAAATATTTTACCATGAGGTAAAAATTAAGACTAATTTTATTTCTCCGTGTCACTATTCACTAACAAAGTAATTTTTGTCAATTCCCCCTTTCACCTTTTAGCTCCCGGTTACTTTATTCTAGCAGATCTGACAACTTCTAAATGGGAACAGGGGAAATCAGCAAAAAATTAAATCTGAAATTCTAAATCCAAGCCTAAACTAGTAATATAATAAAAGAGATGATAGTGTATCGTATATAACATCTTATTTAATTTTCTTGATTATTTCTCAAAACAAAGAACAGGCATACTACTTGCAAGAAATACTCCTGAATTATTTCAGCAACCATTCCTCCTCCACCTTCTTTTAATTAGTATGGAATCACTTTTCTTATCAACATTATTTTACTAAGTTGAATTATTTTTTTAGTACGAAGGAGTCAACTTTGATTCCAAGCCAATATATCCACACTAACTTCTCTCCCCTCCTCCATAAACCCTAAAAGAAAACCTACTGCAAATGTAGTAATATTACCTTGCCCTCTCCATCTGGCAAGAAGAGATAAGCTCCACTTTTGTCTCTGTTGCTTGTAGTTCCATACCAAGCAAAGTCCAACTTTACCCGATAATTTTTATTATCTTCTTTCGTATTTACTTTCTAAAGGGAAAGCAATTAATGAGGTTAATTTTCCTCATAATTTCAGTTTCAAAAGTATTTTCAAAATAGTTTACATTCATACCTCAACAAGTCCAGAATTCCCAGAGAACCAGATTTTCATGTAAAAGTTCTCTAACATGATCTCATCCAAAGCATTCTGTACCTCTTTAACAGTAAAAATTCTGTATGGCTTGACTAACTTAGCTTTATCATTATGATACAGATTATAATCAGCCAGTGCAGTTTCTGAATTCAATCCCTCTAGAAGCTCATAAACTCCAAAACCCAAAGGAGGTAGATGAGCCAAGAAAGAGATCTGTTGAATAAAAGAAAGAAAATATTACATTTCTGATGTCAAGAACAGACACCCAAGTGTCAACAATTTTTTCTGGCTCTCGAAACAACCAATTGTTAGGATCTTAAACTCAACACTAGAAATTATTTTATAAGGGAAACAGTCAAATGAAAACAAATTTTATTCAGAATTATTTCTCATATTAGCTGTACTTTCTGCTTCATTATATCTATGGCTTTACCTAAATTAAAGTAGTAGCTTGGAAAGAATATCAACAGTAGCTATGCCTTTCCTCCTAAAGTAAACACATCATCAGTTGAGATCAGTTCCTCATGACTCCATGGACACACCCAGTAGTTTTTGTGATGAAGATATTGAAGTGGTACTGCCTTATTTGAGGATTAAAAAAAAAGAACAAAACCAATGTAGCCCCCCCACCTCCCCACCAGGATTTTGTGGACATTTCTCATCAAGGTCGTAACCATGCCTGACCCTGCTTATCTTCCAAGCCAACCGCTGCCACTTCCTGAGAAGCCTTTTGTCACAGATATCACTAAAATGGATCTTCCTATTTTTTCCCATTTTAAGAATCAAAGTAAAATAGATTGATACAATGAAATATGATCAATTCATCTGGTAAAAAGGAGTTATGAATCAAATTCAAAATATGATACTTAATAGTCTACACTGGTTTATGTTTTAGACCCTTACTTGTATGCTTCAAGAAGACAAAATTCATCACATTTACTTTACATGACTGTAACATAATAGGTACAAAGCATATACACCAGCAGGTGTGAATATCTGATTGCCTTAAACTACATTCATTTGGCTAACAATTTAATCAAAGTGAAATTAAGGTTATTTTCTCATACCACAAAACAGAAAGAAAGGGAAGTTACTTGCATACTTCTATATAAAACATCTAGTTAAAAAAAAACAACCCTCTGCTCAAGTTAATCTGTATTCTGTTCTAATCTTCCTTGCCAAATTCAAATTTAAACTGTTAAAATAAAAATGTTATAATTTATCAGTTATGCATTACAATAGTATTTTTTAAAAAACTATAATCTGATTTTGAGTTATTTATTTGGGAATAAACCCCATTAATCCCAGTAAGGTTTATTTCTAAGTAAAGGTGCTTAGGATTTTACTTTAAAAGTTCCAGCATTTTCAAGGCCTCAGAATGGAGACACTGAGGAATTTTTTGTAACTGGAATTTTTAAAATACAATCCAGAAGGCATTCTGCATCAACAATAATAAATCACTGATTGAAATGTAATATTTTTTATTTTGCAATTAGTAGGACATTTTCCAAAATTAAGTTTGTTCAGAATATGTACACATATATATTAAAATAGCTTGCCTGGTATGCATCATAGGAGATTTTAGATGTTCCATCCCATACTGCACTAAGTTGGACCATAACTGCTCTTCCAGATGGAGAGAGTACTTTAACTCTAGGTGTATTCACATAGACTGAAACCACTGACGAACGTTCTTGTTCTACAGGATTATAAATCAAAAGGTACCTGCAAGAAAGTTGATAAACCTTTATAAAATCAAAGTAATTTGGTCAAATAATTCTGCTTCACTAAAAATAATTCTACAGATATGAGAAATCATTAGAAATAGGGTCAGATATATTCATGACTGGGTTCATGACTGCACTAAGCCATAATTTATTTTACGTATTGTTTGTTGAACAAGCCAGAAATTAATCAGATTCAATCTTGCAGAGAAACAAAGCAGTCATCAATTGTTTGGCCAATTTATGATTTTTTTCCACCACTTTTAGCTCTTCTACGCACTTCTATTGATTGTATAAAGGGTTGGGGAGGGCACCTAAAGTATAAAAAATGAGTTCTTGTTAATACACATTGCTAAATAGCAACTGCATAAACAATTTCAAATGGTTGTTTATTGTCCAAAAATAATCTACAGTTTACTTACTAATCCCATTTACATACATGAAATAAAAACCAATCATATTATGGCTTAACATGATGTATGAACCCAACCTATTTTTTAATCTCAAAGGAACCATAGTTTCATATATTTTGAGGATATATAAATTAAGTCCCTGCCCAAGATAAATCAGTAATCCTGTTGTGTAATATATGTCAATGGACTTACATACTATTCCAATTAAAAAAAAAAATTGCAATGCCTAAATGTACTGCTGTTTTTTAAAATGAAATAACTTCATAGCATTGGATTGGATGAAATTAAGCTTCTTCCAAAGGAAACATCTTCCAGTGAAGGAAACTTGCCAGATTCAACCCAGGTTTTTTTTTCTTTTTCTTTTTAAATGATATTTAGCAGCTTGCTGACTTGGCAGCATCCAGATATATTGGGGCTAAAACTTAAATTCTGGGAATTATCCAAACTGAACCAACAAATCTGGCTGAATCTAAAGACAGCTACAGAAATGCTATTTCATTGCTAAAACCATAATTAATATATCAATGGACACTAAAACTGTAAACTCAAATCTATCTTTATGCAAATTACAAAAAAATCTACATTTTACTCTTAGAATGATATATCTAGACATGGCATTTCTGGCCCCATTCTCATGTCTTTAGCACACTCCACAACTGGTTATGTTACTGAGATACTTCCTCTGTAAATTTGTATAAGTACCAGCTGCAAAGTTCAAAATGAATACATGGAAATTGTTTGTGTGTTTGTGTGTATTCTATACTTACAGAAAGCAAAAGGTTAAAAGCAACTAAGTAACAAGCTGGAAACAAAATATGAGTAAGATAAGTTTCACAAAATTGATATACCTATAAAATCAAACTGGCCATACCATAAAGAAGAAAACACCTGCATTGCTATGTATTCTTCTGAAGTACCTCCAGAATAATAAACAGTGCTATATATTCACTAGCAAACGGGGTAACTCCAAGTAGCATTTTGATTGGTACTGAACCTCTATCACCAAATGTTCTATCAACCTTCAGAACTACACAATTTTGTTATGAGACATAACATCAAGATAATACAAAAATCTACACAGAAATCCTTCACACAGATTTTCTATTCTGTACTCTGCCCATGTAAATATTTTATACCAGAGTAGGTAATATGAGGCCCACGGATGGTTCTCCTAGTGCTCATCAAGCACTACTGTATAATTAATTTCAACCTTTAAGATTTTTTAATACTCTATATTTACAAAAGTAGACAAGGAGAATCTTTCATATAATATTAGAATTCAGGATCAAATACAGTTGAATGTTGGGAAATTTAGAAGAAGAAAATAAAATCTTTAAAATTAAATGAGAAGAGTACTATTAAATTAATATCCTGTTTTAAAGCTTCTGAAAGAATGTGGCTGGCCATTATGAGAACAGAATGCTGGAATCCATCAGGACTCTTATTATACAGTTCCCTACCCAAAGAAACTTACATTCTAAAATAAAGAAGATTAATTTTATTTGCTGATTTAAAATTGTAATTCATATCACTACTGATTATATCAACTCGGATATATTCTCCAACATCTTGTCACTGATGCAAACTAGAATGTATATATCTCTGTCACCTAGGAGATATGCAAACTGCTAATGCAAAAACAGTCTGCATATCACCCAAATTGAGGAGATGTGAAAACTTTAATAATGGTACGGAAAAATAAGAAGGGCAATATAATATTCTATTTTCAACAGAACCATCAGGAAAAAATGTCACTGAATTAATGATACCTGTACATAGATTAATTGGGGGAATCTAATTTATCATGAAAAGAAATCTTTGGGGAACAGAGAA